TGGCTGAGGTTTTTATCTGCCAGCAGGACCTCTTCCCCTCTCTCCTGGGGCCCTGCTGTGAGACTGGGCATCTTCTCCTCCTGCTTCAGCTATACAGCATGCTGGGAAAGGGGCTGCCTGAGCTCGGAAGGTTTTTCTTCAGACTTGGATAGAAATCTGGGTCCTTACCAGCTCAGGAGGAGTCCCTGGGTGGCACAAATGGTTAAGCACTTAGGCTACTGACCAGACGACTGACAGTTTGAATCCACCCAGACACCCTGAACGAAAGGCCTAGTGATCTACTGAAAAATCAGCCACTGAAAACTCTGTGGAATGTTTACAACAACAACAACAAAAAGAGTAGCTAGCTGCTGAGGCTGCTTATGTACAACAAACATCTCAAGGGATTTGGTTCCTTGGTTTGTAGGTTTAGGGTCATGGTTTCACGGGACATCCCTAATAACCTGTTTAGTGCTTCTGTTCTACCTCCTAGTTCGTAGCATAGTTCCTGGGGCCTTAAAAGCTTGCAAGCAGCCACCTAAGTCACAACAATTCATCTCTACTCACCTGGAGCAACAGAGGAAGAAGGAGAGTCAAGAACAGGAGGAGGAAGTGGAATGTTGCTTTCATGAACAACTTCCCCCTTTACCATGAGACCAGAAGAACTGGATGGTGCCCAGCTACCATTACTGAACATTTTGATCAAAGATGCTAAAGAAGAACCCTGATCAAAAGGGGAAAAACGCAGAACGAACAAAATTTCAAATTCTCATGGACTCCAAAGTTTCTGGAGCCATAGAGGCTGAACACACCCCTGAAACTATCGCCCTGAGATAATTTAAACATTAAACCTTAAACCAAAAATATCCCGACATCTTCTTAAAACCAGATAATAGTTTAAACTAGTAAAGAATGTCTGTCTGAGAATTATGCTCTTTGAAGATCTATCTATATGGGGTCAAACTGACAACAGCAACTCAAAAGATTTGATAGGAAACTTAGGGGGCAGTGAGTTTATGTTAATGAGGGAGGAACAACTCAGAAAAGAAGGATGAGAATAGTTGCACAACTTAAAGAATGCAACCAACGTCACTGAATTGTACATGTAGAAATTGTTGAATTGGTGTATATTCTGCTGTGTATATTCACAACAAAAATAATTTTAATAAAAAAAAAAAGACTGTAACCTGAAAAAGCGTCAACAGTAATGAGGCACTACTGAAAGCCCCAAGAGGGCATCTGATGTGGCCGTGCCCCATGCTATGTGGCCTCACTCACTACTAAATGGTCAGCTTTAGGCAGGAGTCACGTGTCTGCCATGTAGCAGTAGCCTCTGCATCAGAAACAGTCCTTTACTTTGTACCCAGTCTATGAGAGTGGACATATTGCTAAGTCTGGTACATATGATGGAGCCAGGCAGCAATGGTCACAATCTGAGGGGTGCAGGCTCAATTGGTAGCTTGATTCCAGTCTCATCAATGAATGGGCGCTCACTGTATCTATGTAAATGATACAGATGGTTTAGTTGACAGTTGCAGTTCATTTCCAGTTTTTTAAAGAGTGTCTTTAATCTGACAGTCTGTAGTCTTCCAGATGGCAGACCAGAATACTAAGCTATTGGCAATAGCCCAATAGTTAGTAAAAATACAACATGTAAGTAGGGTCCTTAAGAGTATTGTCTAAGGCAAGGGTGACAGCTTTTAATTCAGCCCATGGTGCTGCCTGGCCCTTACTGCAGTCTTCCAGAACTGTCACTGGACACCAACAGCTTTTAACTTAGCTGAACCTGTCAGTGAAACAGGTCCAAGTATTTGGGGATGTCTCTGTGAATCAAGGGCGCCATGGAGCCAGCAGCTTTACTTCAGGCAGCAGAGTAGTGGATTTATTTCCCTCAAATGGGGTAGCTGTCACTTTTCATGTAAAATCAAGATGGCCAACCTAGCTGCAGTCCAAAATACATTATTTTTATTTGACTAGGGAAGTCTGCTGGGCCCTTTTTCATTAGTCATCAAGTCTGAGTTAACCTGGGACCAAAATGGAAATGTTAGGCCAGAGCTACAAGACTTCCATAAGTCAGACATTCAGTTTCAACAACTTGGAAAAATGCTGTTTTGTCTCTGCAGGAACACACACTTTGGAGCCAGATTACCCAGATTTAAATTCCACTTCTCTCACTAGCTGTGAGACAAATTATTCAACTTTTGTGCCTGTTTCCTCATGAGTAAATAACAACACTACTTGTTAGGACTGTTGTGAGCATTAGTGGGTTAATACCTATAAAGTACTTGGAACACCACCTGGCACAAAGTACTGACTGTTGTTGTTATTGTTATCACTGGGAAGCTGGGAGTTCCGGAAACAAAAGGAATCTGTAATAATAAGACTGTTAACACTTGTTGCTCTATTCCTTCCATCAAGACTACTATGACTCCATTTTTTCACATCTTTCCTTTTATTGAAAAAAATTTTTAGAAAATGGCAGTTAATAAAGGGCACAAACAAATCAAGAGGAATATACTAGTGGTAAACATACACAATATAAAACTAAAAATGCCACTGGCTTCTTTAATTGGCTAAGAGCACATAATGTAACAGGCATAAGGTTTGTTTTAAGCAAATTAAAAAGCTTTTTTTAAAGTCTCCCCAAGTCAAATATATACACACCCACAAAAAATAGTGTATGAAGGAAAGCTGTCATACACAAGAAGTTGTATCCTGAACTCCTAAGTGGAACAGCTGCTGTAACAGGAATTAACCCAGTAAAGTCAATAACAGGTTAACAATTTAAAAAACTGATTCTTCCTTATCATCATCTGACACACTGTATGTTATTTACTTATTTATTGTGTATTGTCTGTATCCCCTTATTAGAATGTAAACTCCACGAAGGCAAGAACTTGTGTGTATCCCATGAATCTAGAGTAGCGCTTGGCACATGGTACATGCTCAATAAATATTTGTCAAATAAATGGATGGATATTTAGACAGCAATAGCGATATAATACAGGCTTGTAAAAAAACAGGCATAGAAGCAACAGTCACTATTCTGCCTGGGAAAATTAGAATAGTACAAAAGACATTATAGACTAAAGAAAAAATAAGGATTTGCCAGGTACAGAAGTAGGAAAGAAAAGTCTAGGTGGAGGGCAAAAGAGTCAAAGGCATAATGATGTCAACCAGGCTCTGATCTAATATATGACAATAGGACAGAAAGGGACTGAGTAGGATGATATTTTGGTTAAAATAAAGATGATATGGTGACTGAACCTGGAGGACATGAGAGAGGGAGCAGTTCAAAGTTTTCAGCTTGGCTAACTGGGTATATGTAATGTTATTAGCAGTGAGAGGGACTGAGGAAGAGAAACGGGGTTCATAACAAAATATAGTGAGTTCAGCTTAAGTTTAAAGTATCTGGGCAATGTTCAGACAAGGATGTCTAATATACAGCTAGAAAAAGGATCTGGAGCTCAGAGAAGTGGATGAAATCACTTGAGGAAAATATACCAAGTGAGAAGAGCAGAGCACCAGAGGGATTACAAACCCACATCCCACTGTCCTAATCTAGCTATAAACCAAATCAACCTGTTGCCTTCAAGTTAATTCCGACTCATGGCGACCCCCTGTGTTACAGAGTAGAACTACTTCACAGGGGTTTCTTGGCTGTAATCTTTATGGAGAGAAGCCCTGGTAGCCCCACAGTTAAGTGCTAGGCTGCTAACCAAAATGTCAGTGGTTTGAATCCAGCAATCACTCCATGGGAGAAAGATGTGGCAGTCTGCTACAGCCTTGAAAACCCTATGGGGCCGTTCTACTCTGTTCTATAGGGTTGCTATGAGTAGGAATCAACTCAGCAGCACACAACAATCTTTATGGAAGCAGATCACCAGACCTTTCTTCCACAGCACCACTGGGTGAGTTCCAACCAGCAACCTTTATGTTTTATTTGACAAGCACTCTAGAACACAGACAGGTGTAGGTCCATGAAATAAATAAAAGCTCGTCCTTCACTACAAAGTTTGAGAAGCAGTGTTCTTATTCACCACAGCCCTCATCAAATCCCTGACTTCTTGTACCTGAGACTTCAAACATTTGTGTTACCTGCTTAGATCATCTGGGCATTTGGGTTTATGACCTCTGAACTAAAGGAGTAACAGCTAATAAGAAGATAATAAAAGAGACTGACAATGAGTAATTATGTAGGAGGAAATCAGTAGAGAGAGAAGTCTAGAAAAGACAAGGGCACTGACTCTCTGCCCATGGTCCCTAAGTTATTCTCATTATTACTGTTGGTTATAATCATTGCTATTTATTTCACTTCTAAATGTTGACATTTAGACTGATTTTAATTGACTCTATGCACACATGCACACACAGGCACACACACACATGCACACAAACATACTAAGTCAGAGTCAAAGTCTAGCTATAAACGAAATCTGAGACAGAAGGTGGCAGAACCAGGGCTCAAACTCATATCCATTAAGACTCCAGAGCCTCAACTCTTAAAACTATTACTGCATCTTTGTAGGTGCGGGGGAATGCACACTCATGCACAATTGCTCATTTCAAATTACTGAAGCCAGACAAATAAAACCTTCATGAACTTTCATTAACCACAGGCACCTCTTCTATGAAACAACAGTTTAATCTTTAGTTATTTCTGTTTACAAATGGATCTGGAAAGAGTCTCTTCTTTTCCCAATGTGTGAAACTTTCTCCCAAGAGAGATAAAAAATAAATAGAGCTGGTTCACAGCCTTTGTAAATTTGTTAAGATTTTGTACATACACTATCTTGTCATCTGTTAATAAAGTTAGTTTTAATGCAGAAACAAAAGCTGATTCGTCAGATGTTGCATGGCACGAAGCTACATTATATAAAGTACTGCTAGGTATGAAGGAGGAAGTCTGTATGGCTTTTAGCAAAAACGCTTTTCCAGAAGAGCAGATCAAAACAACACAATGAGCAAATCAAGGAGGCTACAGCTAGACATCAGAGCTACAACTTCTCATATCTGTGCTAGAAAATTCTATTTATCCAGAATGGACTAAAATTTCAGGAAAAATGTTTTTTTTCTTTTTTTTTTAAACAATTCTTTACCCATTTTAAGTTCTGTTTCTTCCCCCTGCCACTCCATAATTTAGCATAATCCAGCAGAAAGATGTCTGCTTTTAGAATTGGCTATTTTATTTTTCTTTCTGTGGCAAGACTGTCATGGAGCCTGGATATTTCAGGCTCATATGCATCCATGACCAGTGTCCCGCTGTGGTCAAAGAACTTAGCAATGGACTTGGTGAACTCAGCTTCCCGCTGCTGCTTCGTTCTCCCGCTGATGAAGGTCAGCTTCAGGGTGTATTTGTCATCAAACCTAAGCACCAGGGCAAAGATAACAAATTAACCAAACACAGTCAGAGATTCAACCAGTAACAACACAGCAAGAAAAGGGCTAAGCTGGGTACTGGTAATGTAGCAAACACACAGATCTATGCTTTTTAAAAACCCCAGGGGCACTTCACTGCCTTCATGACGCTAGTTCAGATTCTTGAGTGTTGACATGTCTTCCCTGATTTAATTACTGTGTACCTCCTTCACCTGACCATACACTGTTAAGTCATATGAACTATCTTCTCTCACCTCTGGATTTTACACTTGCTCTATGCTCAAAGGGTCTTTCTAGCAGACTCTTCTCTCCTATCACATCTGACAAGTTCTTATTTGTTGATACTATAACTAGGCATAAACTTTTCTGGGAAAATCTTCCTCAACTCTCCCAGTCTGAGTCAGATGTCTCTCCTTTGTCTTCCACAGCACCATCAATCAATATTCAGCTCAAATACTGAGTGCCAATCATATGCCAGGACTAATGATATGCCCTCAGGCTATCAGTGGCCCTCATCTCTATCAATAAGATCATCTATTGAAATGATGTTTGTGTATTTGTGTTCTTTACTAGACTGGAAGAGTCTTGAGGGCAAGGAGTTTGTCTTACTTGTTTTCTGCTCCTAGCTTGACACACGGAAGACAATCAAATCTTTACTAATGAATAAAGGACCCTTACTTTCAAGGATGGTCCTCCATTCCAGGTGCTTAGTCCTTGCATGCTGCATGCCGATCACTTTACTAGATGTACTCCAAAGATTATTTAGCTACACCTTTAGGTGCCTCAAAGACCTTTACTATCTCCACCCATTCAAGAGAGTTTAATGACACCAACTTCTGGCAAGCTAACTCCCCCTCCTCAATTTCTGTCTCCATTCAGCTAGGGTATATTTAGTGGGTCGTTAAACTGGTATTATCTTTAGATGAAGCATTTTCTTATATCTTTGTTTCTGCATATGTACAATGGGAAAACTACCACCTACTTTTCAGGATTACTGTCATGATTAGAACAGGACCCAACATAACTGGTGCTCAGAAAATCACAGCTCCTCAATAAACTATTGGTCTAGCCACTAACTTCAAACACTTCAAAAGATTTTCTCCAGCTCTGACCAACTACTGCTGACACCATGGGAATTTTTGGACTTTTGGGCCCAGTTTCATTAGCAGCTACCTGACTTTGATGACAGGATATAATCTGATGATATGATGATGATACATTTTAGGAACAGTTATTCATTAATTTTACAAATATTCATTGAGCCCCACCTACGTGTGTCAGGCAATTTCAGATGCTAAGGATATACAGCAGTGAACATAACAGACAAATCTCTGCCTTTTGAAACTTTCATTTTAGTGTGTGAGGGGCAGACAACAAAAAAAGGTTCTTGTAAACATGGTGGGCAGGAAGGCCGTCACTAAGATGAAAATGTTTAAGCACAGTCCTAAAGGTGACGAGAGTACAGGCCATCTGGAAAAAGAATATTCCAGGCAGAGAAAACAGCAAGTGCAAAGGCCTTGAGGCAAGAACATTCCAGGAATGTCTGAAGAACAGAAAAGAGCCACCGAGGACAGAATGGGGTAGGAAAGGATGACAACTAAAGGAGATAAGGGATGTGTTTGCATATGTGTGTGGGGTGCAGAGAACAGATACATCTGGACTTCTAAGCTATCCTTAAGAGTTTGGCTTTTTCTCTGAGTGACAGGATTTTGAGCAGAAGCCTGATTTGATCTGATTTATGTTTCAAAAGGATCACTCTGCCTGCTGTGCTAGGAAGAGACTATGGATGGGGAAGCAGCTGAAGAGGTCCATTAGGACACTATATAAAGTAATCTAAGTGAGAGATGGTGGTAGCAGTAAAAATGGCTAAGTGGTCAGACTGAATATATTCAGACGTAGAGCTGACAGGATTTGCTAACTAAAGGAAGGATGGAGAGAGAGGAATAAAAAATTCCTGAGTTTCTGGTCTGAGCAACTGGAAGGATGGATAGTTGTCATTTATTGAAAATAGGAAAACTGGGAAGAGCAGATCTGGATGAGGGATAGTGGAATTAGGTTTTCGACATATTAATTTTGAGATGCCTATTAGCATCCAGAGGCCCTGGTGGCACAGTGGTTAAGAGGCTGGCTGCTAACCAAAAGGTCGGCAGTTCGAATCCACTAGCAGCTCCTTGGAAACCGTATGGGGCAGTTCTACTCTGTCCTATAGGGTCACTATGAGTCGGAATTGACTCAACAGCAATGGGTTTATTAGGAGCCAAGTGGAAATGTTTAATAGAGAATTGGGATATATATCTAAGTTCCAAGTAGAGGTCTAGGATAAAATATATATTTAGAGATCTTCATCATATAGATCATATTTAAAGTCTTGAAAATCTAGATAAGACCCCACTTAGGGAGTGAATACAGACAGAGAAGAGGTTCTAGGAATAAGCCTGGTGGTATTTCAAATTTAGAGAAAGGGGAAATGAAGAATCGCAAAGGAGACTGGGGAACAGATATTAAGGTAAGAAGAAAATTAGAAACAGTAGGGTATCCTGGAACTCTAGTTTAAAGATAAATAAAGCGTTACAAGGAGGGAGTAATCAACTGTGTCAAATGCTGCTAATAGGTCAAGTATGATGAGGAAAGAATGAAGAGCAGATCCAAAAGGTAATGCGAAGAGAGGAAAACGACAGCAGAGAAATGGGAAGGTCGTATGAAGAAAATAAGGAGAAAGGAAACTTTTTTTTTAGTTGGGAGAAATTACAGTATGTTTGTGTGCCAGAGGGAATGATCCAACAGAGGGAAAACATCAAGTAATCAACAAGGCATAGAATCTAATGGCAAATGGAGGGTAGGCTTTAGATAGGAGCTGGGAAAGAAGGGACAGTATAATGAGCGTTGATGCAAGTAGGTGGGTAATGATGGGAGACTTCTGATTGCTTCAATCTTCTCAGCATCAAAAGAAGCAAGGTCATCAGCTGAGAGGAAAGGTGGGGGAGGAAGTGTAGAAGGTTTGAGAATAGAGGAGAAGGTATGACTGGATAATGAAAGGGAAGAAAGACAGTGAAAAGGTAGTACACTGACTCAATGAATTATAGATGCCACTGGGGCCAAAGAACCGTTATTTACCACGAGATAAACTAGCAGAAAAATAGGAAGTGAAGGTCAGAGAGTGGGATACTTAAAACTGATATTATTGAAAATAATTAGTTATTAGTAATCGTAAGGGCTAAGTTATGATGGTGAAAATAAGTGTCTAAGACACAACAGAAAATCAGACAATTAGAGGAGAGGAAATAGATACACTGAGAAGCCAGGGTACTAGAATAATCACCTACTTGGATATTGAAATCACCAAGACTTATGAAAGAAGCTATGTTAGAGAGTGCTAATGAGCCAGGAGCTATCTTCAAGGAACGAGGGGGGGAATGACCCATGGGTCTGTATTTAACCGCAATGAGGAGGAAGAGAGGTGGCAAAATGTGGTAACACACCATTCAAAGTAGGGGCCTGTAGAGAAGAGGTACCGCCAGTACCAGTAGTAAGAAGACTATGTGAGAGAAATCAGCTACCACTTGAAGTCTATAAGGAGAGCATGTCCTTAGGGGTTAGTCAGGTTTTACTTACGGCAAAAAAAAAGAAAGGAATGTTCAAAGAGAAGACTATGTTACAAGGAATTTTGTGGGTGGCTGACCATGACTTGGCTGGAGGCAGAGTCTGATAAGGCAGTCAAGGTGCAGTCTAGTCCAGGTGAATTTCACTCACTTACCCAACAAAAATTTCTGCAAATCTAAGTTGTGCCAGTCCCTGGGCAGATTCTGAGGACCCACAGGTAAATAAGCCAGTGTCTACCTTTGGGCTTGGGGGTCTAGTGCATAGCCAATAGTAAAGAAGCTTACAATTTTGGGGAAGCTGAGCGGAGGCACAGAAAAGTAAATAATTATAGTACCACGTGACCTGTGCTAACAGAGGTAAGCATGAAATGCTCTTAAGAATACCTAAGAGTAACTAATCTAGACCAAGGTATATCAGGGAAGGCTTCCTAGAAGAAGTGACAAGTAGGAGTTAGCTAGGTATTCAATCCTGAGAAAATATGTGCAGTGGCACAGAATCACTGGAAACCTCGAGAATTTAGCAAATTGCAAATTCTGTAATATTGCTAGAGTAGGAATGTGTAGGTCCCTTTTGGAAGGGGTATGAAATAAAGCTGGAGATGTCATTGGGAGACAGATGTTGAAAGACTCTGGACAGTATACTAGATGTGCTGGGCAGTAACTGAATTGAAGACTTTTGAAGGGAGTCACACAGCTTGTGATAAAGAAGTTTACAGGTGGCAGCTAGTAGTCTATGAAATCTTTCATTACCATTTTCACATCATGTGGCCTGGCAGCTATAGAACAAGACATGTGAACCAGGCACTACTAAACTACTAAAATTACTCTCTAATGTGGGGGGCGGGGATTCTTCTTCTCTACAGGCACCAACATGGCAGTTGGTAAAAAAAACAGCAGAGAAGCCTAACCCTAGAAATGGATCAGTCAACTATGAGTCAAAATACATAAATCAGAATGAAAGTAACAAAATTAAGATGTTGCTAGGATCTGGAATTCTGCAACTGTGCTTTGGTGGCCTGCTGGGCAGTGTAGATTGATGATGGCTGAGGCGAAAGGGCAGCTGGGAGCTGAGACAAGCAAGAACTTAGCTGAAAAATCTGAATGAATAAATGTCTGTTCCTCCTCTTCCTCACAGGCATCTTCACAAATTGGCAACAAGAGAGCCTGCTGACACTGATGTTATACTTACCTTCATGTGTATGAATAGCTGATGTTATACTTACCTTCATGTGTATGAATAGCTGTACTTACAATCTGAGAGCCTACTATATGCTAGGAACTATACATGTGCTCAGACTGGGGCTGGAATTCCTGCTATACCACTTTTGGCTGTATGGCACTAGAAGAATTAATTAAATTCTTAGGGCCTGCTTTCTTATCTAGAAAATGGGTTGCTCTAGAACTTAAATGAGATAATGCACTTGGAATAATAGCTGCTATATGGTAATCAATAAACATTAGCGATTCTTGTAACTGGTATCTCATCTTCCCAACAACTCTAAGAGTTATTTTTGACCTTATTATGGGGTCATTTCAGATCTACTAAGGCTCAGATAGCTTACACGATTTACCAAAGGTCATACAGCTAGAAAGAAACTAAGCTGCAATTTGAAGCCAGCTCTGGGTGCATACAAAGACCTCATATGTTGGTTGCACAGTTATATCCACTGCTGGTGATAAACAGACTCTGAATTGTGCTTCTGAGTTGCCTAGTCCAATGCTCCAGAGAGTCTTAACCGGATTCACAGAGTGAGCTAATGGGTTTTTCTGAAGATAACTGACCTCGCACCTTTGGCCTTATAGTCCTATACTCTAAATGGCTGAGTTAATTGGCCACAAGGAAAAAAAGAGACTCTTCATTATTCCACCAAAGTACTTTCTCTCACAGTTCATTCTCAGAGCATTTCTGTGATAATGCAATCTCAGAAATGCACTGCTAGGAAAAACCTTCTAGATCATTCATTTTCCTTTCTTCATTTTATGACTAGCGCCAGTATCTGCAGAGTAGGCAGGCAATAGTCTGCTGTTGATAATGACTTAATATTCCAGGGAAACTCCAACAACAAAATTTAAGAATCTGTGAGGATAGTCATACCTTTTGAGACTGGAGGACAGTTGCCAAATATCATCAGGGTCCATCCCCGTAGGATCCTTCCTGTGGGCCACGAGAAAGATGCTCTTCTCCTTATATGAGGTATAAATGGTCAGGATCCCCATCATCACAAAATAGGTTCAAATAAAGTTAAGGGAAAAACACACAAATACACACATAGAACAAAAGAGAAATACCACAAACTGACAATCAAGGGCTATGAAAACTTTCATGACAGTCCTACAGAACGAGTCGGTTTTGTCATGCTGTAAAAACACTACAAATTTAGTTATTTCATTTTCATGCTTATGTTTATGTACCAAGAGAAGCAAGGCTCTATCTGGTTAATTCTTCAAAGAATATCTAAAAAAAAAAAAAAAAAAGGATAAAATAAGAGGGCATCAACTAGCTGTCTTCTTTGCTGTTCAAGGACAAAACGTGTAAGAAGATCCCTTTACCTAGTTTATCAAGACTCTGTTATTATTGTGTTTATTTCTCTATCAAAAATAAAACTAATGATCACAGTGGACTTGATCATAGTTAACCAATTTAAGAGTCATTAAAAGAAAAAAAAGTGACTTCAATTAGTATTACTATAAAAATAACTACTTCTTTTATATGTACAGGCTTATTATCATATTCAGTTATTGACAATATTAATAGCTACTATATCTGAGTACCTGCTATGTGTCAGTTTTGTGTACATTGTATTATTTAAATTTTATGAAACGGAGAGGCAATAAAGTATAGTGCGAAGTATATAGGCTTTGGAGTGAGGTAGTCCTAGATTTGGATCTTGGTTTTTAACCAGTGTAACCTTGACAAATTACTTACCTTCCGCAAGTCTTAGTATCGTCACCTCTAAATGGAAATAATATTGACTTTTTGGAACTGTCATAAGGTTGAGAGATAGTGTGCATATAAAGAGTGCATAGCACACAGAAGACACTGACAATAGTGGTCACTACTATTCTATATAAAATTCTTTTCTTATTTTGTTCTAAACAAATATAACCAAACAAATGAAGTACCATCAACTTAGTTCTCTTGGGAGGCCGTATATGTGTAATAATGTTGCTATCGTTGAAACTCTTGTGGAAAGTGCCTCAACTGTGAAAAAATTCATCACTGGCATGATTTATCAGATCACTGAAAGGAGTCAAGCATCACATGGTGCCAATTCTGGGGAATATAATTTGGGATCAATTTGGGTAATACCACTTTTGATTAAAACCACAAGCCAAACCCGTTGCCATCAAGTCAATTCTGACTCATAGTGACCCTACAGGACAGACTAGAAGTGTCCCATAGGGTTTCCAAGGAGTGGCTGGTGGATTTGAACTGCCAGTCTTTTGGTTAGCAGCTGAGCTCTTAACCACTGGACACACTTTATTAGATGGTTTGCAACTGCTTCTAAAGGTAAATCCCCAAAGTGGAGATTTTAGAAATATTTCAGGTAGTGGTAGTTCGCTTTCTGCAGGGAGGAGTGTCGGTAGAGATTTTAAGAAACAGTCATTAGAAGACAAACCTGACCATAAAGAAAGGATATGATATGACACACAAAGCCAAAACAGGCTTTGACTCTGGAAAGGGGTGCATATAATCCCAAATCAAAGCCACTATGGCAAAGAAACAGGAGACTGTACAGATGGTGAGGCGACCGTCAATTAAATTAAAATTCTCCACATACTTGTACTTTTCCAGAAGTACCTAGTGAGAAGAAAAAGGAACCAAGTTAACAAGAATGCTCCCTTCCCTTCCTGGTACCTGCTTTTATTCTTAATTTCCATGATAAAAGTTATATTAAGAATTATATAAACTACCTGACAGCTCTTTCCAACTGCAATTTTACCACTCCAAACAAACAAAATTCATTTACAAAGAACCCCAGAAAAAAAGTTCATCAATTCCTCACATAACATTTATTTTTTTAAATCCTCAACTTTTCCCCTAGTATGCAGCTAAAATTTTCTTTTCCCTTTCTAAATGGAAAGATGAGCAAACATGGACGAATGCCCAAGCTTCTCTCAACATTCTAGGCTCTAGGCTGATTAACCTCAAAAACAATAAATTACCAGCTTTCTGTAATTCACAGATTAGAGAATTTGAGGAAGAGCCTCAGATAGCTAACGTTTATATTTTAACACATTTTCCCCTACTTATACTGTACTGTGAGAATTTTAAATACTGCTTTCTGGCTCAATTTCTAACACTGAAAACTAAGGTCATTTAAAGATACAAAAGAAAAAGATTCTCTAGCTGGGCTATCAGCTGTATACACGCCAACAGACTCTTCCTCATGAAAGCACCTTTTTGGCAGAATCATCCAAAGAATTTTTCACAGCTGATCCATCCCACTTGTCAATTTTTACAGGCTTATCATCAATCTTCCACTGTAAAAGAAACAAAACAGTTGTAGATCAAGAGAATGGCATTTTCTTGAAAATAAAATGAACTACTTCCTTAAGAGCATCCTTAAATACACATAAGTTATTCTTTCTCTTCTGATGTTGAAGATCTGAAAGACAAAACACTTGAAAAAAAAAGGAAGTTGACCTGAAAGCATCTTTTAACTAGAAAGCTGATTAGCTCAAAAAGTAAAGAATTTCACCCTTGAGAACTGCACTCTTAAAAAAATTATCCATGAGACCAAATGGACAACAGTTACTCTAAAGCATAGATGAGAAGTTTGTGGGGCAGTGAAACTATTAATGGGAATAGAACAATTGGAATGGAAATAATGAGGATGTTGATATAAACTGAAGAATGTGACCAATATCACTAAACATTACATGCAGAAATTGTTGAATGGGAATTTGTTTTGTTGTGTATACTTTCACCAAAAATACAATAAAATATTATTATTTTAAAAAAATGAAACTGAAGGAGACTAGGTAACCAGAATCATGGGGTACTCATGTGATGCTGCCAGTCACCATGCTAAGAAGTCAAAATCTACAAGCCCAGAACCAGATACTTACATGGGCTGCAGAACTATAGTGTGAACTCCTATAGCCTATTCCCATTTTACCCAAATATGGGTATAGAAAAGAACTCCATATATTTATCCTTTTATTCTGTGACTACAAGACTCAGAAAACATAGATACGTGAACCTACGTTAACAAATGGGGAGGGTCTCCTTTAATACAATGCTGTTAGCTAACAGGTCTTATAATTTACCAGCTTGTTGTAAGTTAAGATGGCAAATCCAGTATGGTCTGTTGGAAAGAATACTAAATTTTGAACTAAAAACCAAGTCCTAGACCCACTCCCATCATCAGTCAGTTATGTAACTTTGGACAAATTGTGCTTCAATTTCCCTCATTTATAGAGGTTTAGAAAGTTTCCCAAAGACTGTGTGTGCTATTTAGAGGTAAGATTCATACATTGCTGGTAGGCATTCAAAATGGTAGGCAATGACAGGAAGTCAATTTAGCATGTTGGATTCAACTTCCAATTCTGGGAGTTTTTCTGTATCTGCATACATCCGAAATAATATAAAAGGCTATTCACTAGAGCAGTGTGTATAATAGTTAAAACTTTGGAAGGAACTCAAGGACTCATCTAGAGGACTGGTTTAACAAACTATGGTACATTCAGATATCCTGTAAAGGTAGAGGGACATGGGTGGGAGTAAGACTTCTCAGATGTATGCCTTTTTAATTTTTAACCATGTGAATGTATTACATAGTCAGAAATTTTCTCAAATGCAAGTGATTAGGTGAACATAGCTTAAGTGGAACGGGGTGCTACAAAAAATCTGATAAACTTGCCTTTTATAGATCACAATATGGCCAACTCTTGATTTTTTACATCAAGTGAACAAATACTATACTTTAGATAAACCAGGAGGCAATCCAAAATTCATCTGGCTTTAGAATGGATTATTTTACTGAAGGAAAGAGAAGAGAGCCTCATATTTATCTAACTGAGCACAGTTTCAGAGATACTGCATAGAAGAAATCAAAGAGACGGAATAAACATCTATAAAAAAACAACTCAGAAGATTTTAAAGGAATGTAGAAATTTATTTCACTGAACTTGGTTTTTTTTTCTTTTTTTATTGTACTTCAGGTGAAGGTTTACAGAACAAAATAGTTTCTCATTAAACTATTTTTTTTTTCTTGACTGTGATTCTTTTATACTATTACATACACACATGAAGTCTGTGTTTGGGGGGGTGCCCAATGAAGTAAAATCATCATACTTTAAGTGATTAAAACTTGATCAAGTTTTTTTTGTTTTTCCTTCTGGTATCTTATAAAAACGAGTAATGATTTTACAACAGCATGTTGCAATATTGATTCTCATGGCCTACCTGCCTACATATCAAACACGATACCTAATTTTAAAAATACAAATTGAACAAAGAAGAAATTAATGAGTTTTCTAGCTAAACAGCTCACTTACCCTCAGTCAAGTAAATCTCATTTTGATAACGGCAAGAAAAAGAAAGAAGCTTTACAGCCAGAACCCACAAGAGAATTTGAATTACTTGTGTGATAAAGCCATTTAAAATTTCAGGTCATTCCAAAAAGAGCAAATGTATTCTCAGAGAAACTCAGCCACATATCACTGCCTACAGAACATCACAGAAAAGAAACTTGCCTCTACAATTCACAGAAGATAACTTCTTGGCAATTTTCAGGGATAAAATGCAGTAGTCACTACAGCATGTGCTGAAATAGCCTCAGCTCTAACTCCACTGCCTAGTACCTAAAAGCAATCTTCAGTAAATGGAATAAGAACATTTCCAGTGAATTACATGAACCACAAGAAAGTCTGTAATTTGATTTCTGAAGAGATGGGAGCATCACCCACTTTTGTGTGCATGAAAAATCTTAGCCCATTTCAAAGCAAACAGTGCTAGCATTCCAATTTCTCCACATCCTTGCCAACACATTATTTTTCTTTATTATAGCCACCTAATGGGTGTGAAGTGGTATCTCATTGTGGTTTTGATTTGCATTTCTCACCCACCCAGCCGCTTCTTTCACTTACTGTAACGTTTTCAAGGTTCACACATACTGTAGCATGTATCAGCACTTCATTCCTTTTTACGGCTAAGTAATATTTCATTGTATGGATATACTAGTTTGTTCATTCATCAGTTGATGGACATTGGGTTGTTTCCACTTTTGGCTATTATGAATAATGCTGCTGTGAACAGACTATAAACATGCTATATACAAGTTTTTGTTTGAACACCTGTTTTTAATTCTCTGTAGGAGAAATCCCTAGCAATTTCCCATAAAGATTACAGGCCAGAAAATCCTATGGGGCAGTTCTACTCTGCCATATGGGGTCACTATTAGTTGGAATCAACTTGAAAGCACCTAACAGCAATAACAACAGTGACTGATGTTAAGCATCTCTTCATGTGCTTACTGGCCATTTGTATATCTTCTTTGGAGAAATGTCTACTCAAATTCTTTGCCCTGTTTAAAATCGAGTTTTTTTTTATTATTGAGTTGTAAGAGTTCTTTATATATATTCTGGATACTAGACCATTATCAGATATAGGATTTGCAAATATTTTCTCTCATTCTTTGGGTATCTTTTTCTTGATAGTGTTCTGTGACACACACAAGTTTTTAATTTTGATGAAGTCAAAAATGGTAAGTTTTGAGATGCTATTAAAGCTCAATTTGCAAAACAGTGTTAAAAAGCCAGGATCTTGTTTCTTAAAACACAGGCACAGACAGACAGACAGACACACACACACAAACACACACACGCACACAAAACACCATAAAATCATGCATTTGCTTTGACAGAGCTGGGTCACAAGGTACAAGTATGCCAGCCAGAAATCTGGCAAGCCAACATACCATCAAGGAGAATAAGAGGACAAATGACCTAAGGCACACGGCTAATGGGTGACAAAGACATGGCCTGAGCCTAGACCTTCCAACCTTAAAACAGATGTTCTTCCCACTACTATATCAGATAGCACAAGGCCCACTCTGGTATGGGAGACAATGTACTGAGTAAGGTAAGAGCACTGGATTAAGTACTGGAGATGCCAGGTTCTGGAACTGTTACTAACTCACTGTGTGTCCTGGGCAAGTTGCTTCATCTTCTTCTCTCCAACTGTGCCCATGTCTATAAAATGAGGCGGAACAAATGAGCTCTAAAGTCACTTCATTAAACACTTTAGAGAAACCACTATTGATTAAGCAGAATAGTTTAAGAATCTGATTCAGGTCTGGGATGAGGTCTATAAATCTTTTTTAACTAATACCAAGGGAGTCTGACATAGACAGTCTTCAAATCATGTAACGAAAAATATCTATCTAAGGAGGCTAATGCTCAGAATAACTGGCTAGTTAGCAGCAGCTATATATACTTTGTTGAGTGCTTACTAGGTGCCAGATATCACCTTATAAGGTAAATATTATTATTATCCCTACCTTATAGTTGAGGAGACTGAGATGCAAAGAGATTTATTAACTTGCCCAAGAACATACATTCGTTAAGCAGCAGAGCCAGGATTCAAAGCCAGACAGCATGGCTCCAGAGCCTGTATTCTCAACTACTAATATATGAAAGCTGTGTTTTAAGATCAAGCAACAGCCCAGCCAGGAAACCACAATTCAGGTATGAGGTTAAAAGAGTCTGGATATAGCTGCTGGAAAGCATGGTTTAATACCACAAATCAACCTTAATAGCCAGAACAAATTAAGCAAGCAACTTTTCTTTATAGCCTGCCATGTTGAACAAAATGCCTGGATGTATTCTGGGAAAAATAGCTTACTACAATAATCTGAATTAAATTATCCTGTGATGGAGGCTGTGAGATTATATGTGTATATCTACTTAAGATCAGGAAACAAGAATTGCTTTGTTCTTAAAGTCAGTTTCATAGGAGCAGAAATTCACATCCGCTTAGGTAAAACTAAAAGTACATTTGCATCTCTTTTTTACATTTCTTTATGGCAAGTTAAAAATATAGCTGCAAGAAATAAAATAACCCCCCCCTCAAATCAAATTAAAGACATTTTACTAAAGATAACAGCCTGTCATTCCAACAGAGCAAAAGCGTCTTGCTCCAGTGAGGATTAACATTCTTTTCCCATGTTCTGTCCCACAGTATCTTCAGTTTTTAGGCAATTAGAGGCACCATTGTCTAAGGCTGTTTCTGGAGACTGAAGTGCAGATTTGAAGTTTTTCGTCTTTTAAATTCAATGCTGCAAAGACTTATTCTGTGTTACTCACTACAGAGAACTATAATAATCCCTCACAGGAAATTGGACAAATACAAATTGTTGGAACAATATAAGACAATATGTCACATTAACTCACAGCTTAATTCCCATGTGCAGTCTAAGTGCTAGAGAATTCAGAGGGGGAACAACTTAACCTAAAGCTGAAATCAGTCCTCCCTGCCC